TAATACGCAGCTGCAGCTTCAAAGTTTGTGACCTCTTACAGTGCTTGTAGTAACTTTGTTCTTACAGTAAGTGAAAAATGTGTTAAGTGGGCAGGAATTAGCTGTGTTTTTGGAAGGCTTTAGTTTTAAAGGAAAAATCAAGTTACTGTTTATTACCTCAGTACCAGAGAATTGATTTGGATTTCTGTGAAACTGAGCCATATTGGCTGCAAACAGGAATTTGTTCTTGGAAGGGTAACAACAGCCAGCCTGTTGCCCTTGTTTACACTGAGAGAGGTACATAGGAAAAGAGGGAATTGCATCCAGCGCGCGCTCTGTGTAATTAAAACATGAAACGTACTGCTGATTTGGCCTTCTTTCTAAACAAATGTTAGGGCAAATACTCAAAACTAAGGAGAGCCAAGACGAGGTTGCAAAAATCTTTGCTGTCAAAAATCTCTGTGTGAATTAACATGACTGAGTTTTGGCAATTTCGTTGCGCCCTTTCTAAGCAAAATAATTCAGACTTGTGTGCTTTTATCTGCATCTGTATTCAGGCCCTCAGTGACTTAAGTGACGTATGTTTCAGAGATGCTTAAAATCCATGTGAATTGCAGCCTGATTCTCAAAGGCTGGTAGTTTCTTTGCACATTTGTGGTGGTGGTGGTGTGCTTGAGAGTAATGCCTGCTCCAGCTATCTCCTGCTACCTTAATACTCACAATGTACTCTGAAAATTACATCAGGCAATGAATGAACATACAAATACATAAAATAATTGGCAGAACGTTTTATTATCCTGAGCCAGAACAATATTATCCCTGAGAAAAGACGAAAAGAAAGCTGTGAGTCACTAAGGAGGACACATATCTTAGGAACGTAATGCATCCAGATAAGGGCATGTAGATGGTGAAAAATATTTGCAAAAGCAGCTGAAGAAAGTTTGCTGCCAGGCTGCCTTGACATGTAAACCATCTCTCAAACTGAACGGATCGGTGCTTCAGAGGATAGATTTACCAAGGACCTTGCATTTGTTGCTATTGCCTCGTAGCCATTTTGAAATTTGTCTCAAGAATGTATGTCTTAAGAGCTAACTTTGTGTTGGGGTATGTACGTGTGTATATACATATTTATGTGCGTATCTTAAAATGTATATATGTAGAGAAAGAAAGAGATTCTAAAGAGGGGGTGGAAATAGAGTATCTGCAGGAAGAATTACATTTCCTTAAGCACCTCTTCTTTTTTTTGTCCTAATTTAAAATAGTCCTGAAAGAGAGAGAGGTTTTCTAACGGCATTTGAAGAAATTTTGACTGATACTAATTTTTATAGTTATATTTTTAAACTTACTACCTACATGCTTAAGTACTTATTTGTAAATGGAAATAAAGAGAATCCATTTTTCAGGCAAGTTGCCTTGACCAGGTCTTGGATGACACTTCCACACCCACTGTGCAAAGCTCAGGATGTTCTGGCACATAGCCAGAGATCTGGAAGGTTGTTAGGAGTCTGCCTCTCCTGTTAAAAGCTACCAGGGATCCCCAGGCCATTGCTGAAATATTTGCATACCTTGTTCTTAAATAAAAGTCCTTAGCTTCCCTACATGACTTGTTCCAGTGTTAACTGTCACTGTTGGAGGGTGGAGAGAGTTCCATGTTGTTTTTCTTTAAGATAGGCCTGTTGTTCTTCAAGTTGCTGTCTACTTATCGTCCTCAATGGACAAGGAGAATCAGTGAATGCCAGCTATTTTCTGATATTTTATGTTTAATTCACCTCTCTATCTTCATTCTGCTAATTTCCTGACTAAATAAACAAGATATTTTTTGTGTGTGACATAGCTTGTCACAAAAGCTGTGCTTCTAAAACCATCTGACAGTTTTCTTGTTCTAAAACTTTCCAATTTGCTGTATTTTTCTTGAAGTACAGTGGTAAAAGTGGTTCAGATTCCAACAGCAAGGAATAAAGGAAAACAGTGAAGTTTCATGTCTTATGCTAATGTGTCCCAGAATTGTATTTCTTTTCCTTTTGAAATAATAGTGTTATTGTCCAAGTTTTAATCTCACAGATTCTTGAGGGATGTTTAATATGTTATTGCTAATTTTCCATTTATATTGCTGTCATGCTTTGAACATTTTTTCTGAGTTTCATCATTGTTCGACCACCTCTAGACTAATTATGCAGTTTATCGTAAATGGCAGTTGTTACCTGCAAATGAGTTGCAACCCTTGTAAGTTCAGTGTCATCAGCCAATTTGAGAAACATGCTTTTTTATTTCATTATTCCAGTTGTTAAGGTTGAAATACTAAGTACTGAACTTAGTATACACAGACCTTTGAAAGACCTCATTCGTCTATATTCTTCCAGTTTGATAGAAAAAAAAAAATCATTGCTACTCTCTGAATAGATTTTTCAGACAGTTATGCAGCCTTAAAATAGAAATCTCAGCCAGATTGTTTCCCTGATTCACTAGGGAACTTACTGCAACTCCTGAAGGCTTACTCAGAAGCCATAAACTGAAGTGTATCAAAGCTACTTCTTTTGCCTATCTGCCTGACAAAGAGAGAAATGTGAGGTTTGATACGATTCAATTTTCACTTCCTTATTATCCTACATTGTTTTGAAATGGACTGTAATACTGTTTCCTTAGGTTTAGTATGGATGTTGCACTTACTGACCTGTAATTCTGTTGGTACTCTGTCCCCTTTTAAAAATGGGTGTGTTTGCTTAGGGGTGTTCCCTTTCAGAGATAACTGATAATGCTTCAGAAAATGCTTTCACTTGTTATTTGAAATCCACTCCAGAGCACTCAGCTCATTCCCCTCTTTTCACCCAGTGTTGTGACTTTCTTGGGTAAACTGTACATTTTCCCTTCACAGCCAAAGGAAGTGTCAAGCATAAACAGGCCTTTTGCTGCTAAGACTCTTTTTATGATTCAAGTATGAAGTTTGTAAGAACATGAAATAAAAACTGTTTTTCTTAATGTATCGCTTGAAATTTTCAAGGTAGGATGCATGTCTCCATTAGGAGCTGGCACAGGGCTTCTTCAAGGTGAAGCCAAATTTGAAATTTGCTGCCTTGAAGTTTGCTGGATTTTTTTTTTTTTTTAATTTGGTGTGTGTGTTGTGTCCTTACCCAAAAAGTGACAAACCTGTGTTCCATGGCAGTGCTGGGCTGGGTGAGGTAAGAGGCTGGAAGGTAAAGGGAAAGACTGTGAGGAGAGAGACAGATCCCACCTTTCCACTAACCTTCCAGCAGCTGGTCCAGCCCTCCTGAGGGGCATTACCTTCTGATTGCCTCTTCTTACCTTCTGTCCATTTTCCTTCCATATCTTCCTCTACATTTACTGTCCCCAAATTCCTTAATTTATTGAAGCATCTCTTTCTTGAAGACACCTTACCCCTTCCTCTTAGTATTCTCAGGTGGATGGTTTTCCTGACGTCTTTCTCAGAACAGAGTGGAGGTGTCTTTGTTTGTTACTTGTGACTGAGAATGTCCCCAGCCAAATGCTGAGGGAATTATTCTGCTTGGTGACTGTGAAGATCTCCAGCTAACAGCTGAATATTTCTAGGGTGAGGGATGTTCTCTGTCTCTTTGCGACATTAGGCAAACGTCTGCTCTTCTTCTGCTGTGATTTAATGTGAAAATGCAGTTCCTTTTACAAGAACTTCACCATTTTCCCATTTTAAATTTACTGTCAGTAACAGAATATGAAATGTTTTAGGAATTTAGACAGAAATGTTTCCAATTATTGTATTCTCCATCTATTCACTTAATTCCTTTTTGGCTTTTGACAGCAAATGTGTATTGTTTCATTTTAACTAATGCTCAAAATTACCATTTAAAACTCTTGCTGAAGAATTGATTTTCTCTAACCATGTTATAGAAACATAGTACCAAACAATGTCCAACAAAATTTGTTATCTCTGTATCAGTCTTATTTAACGTTTTGGTACTGGTAATTAAGTTATTAAGTTGTGTATTGGAAGGAAGTTTACCACTTAACATGCTGGTCTGATTTTTTTTCCATCTATGTCATCTATGAGTTTCGCAATTTACCTGACTCGATTCCATATTTTGCATAAGTCATCCCCATATAATGGGCTTAGCCCTATTTAGTCAATGAAGTTAAAAAACAACAAACAAACCCAAAACTAATATTGAATCGGTATCAGCGCTTTAAATGATAACATGTGATTTCACTGGAGAAACAGGGTGTGCTACTGGTAGCAATGTTGATTTCTTCACAACTGTGTAAGAACAGCTGATGTCCAGTAGAAACCACCATTTTTGGGCATTTCCAGCAATAAAGCCATCCTAGCATTATAGAAAAATGTTAAATATTAGTGCAGACTGGAAAAAAAATTTCCTGTCCCATTCCAGGAAATGGGAGCGAGACATCCTAAAAGTGCAATCGTAACTTGTAGACTGGTATGAGGAATATCTTAGCCCTGTGAATGCAAACTGCTAAATGGTTGCTATTCCACTGTGAAACCCTGCTGCTGAAAACTGCTTTACAGGGATGACTTTGCTTTTTGCCAGTGTAACCTAGACTCTATGAATGGCTCTTCTTTCAGAAGCAACATTTACATGTTGCCTTCTGGGTATGTGTTCACAGAGATATGAAGAATAAACATGAAGTTATGCATTGTGTATTGCAAAGCTGTAACAAGGAATTAGTTAATAAATAATACAGGAAATTAATAATTAACTGCCTTGTCCTACATCTTTCTGATCTTTATCCATCTGGTACTTCATAGGACCCTAGTTTATCTTCTGTCTCCACTTATCTAGTCCTGAGCCCTATTTTAACTAATGCGTAAATAAAGCATAGTTTTAACTTTGTCCTTAAACTAACCATATAATGAGTGATGTGAGTTAGAAGGGACAGCACAGTAAGTAAGATGCCAGACCTCTAATTTCAAAGACACAATGTTGTTTTCCTCGCTATTAGCAGCAATTCCGGACAAATTCCTAAATACCAATAATTTCAGGAAAGCTTATGAATTTTCCTGTTCTGTTTTGCAGGGGATTTCCCAAGAAAACAGGCAGAACTGCTAGGATAGCGTCTGATGAAGAGATTCAAGGGTCAAAAGATGCTGTAATTCAGGATCTGGAAAGAAAACTTCGCTTCAAGGAAGACCTTTTGAACAACGGGCAACCGGTATAAAAACATAAAATACCTCGGGGAATGGGAGTGGGCATCACTGGTAGTTTCTCACATATACTGCATATATGGTTGCATAAAATAGTTGTAGATTATTTCTATATGTTATGCATTTATTATGTTTAATTGCGTTCCAAAGGAATGATAATGTGCATTTTTGGCCTATCATTCCTTCTCTTGTTTAACAGTCTTACTTGGACTTAACAAAGCAATGGAGGTCTCAAAGGTGATGAATTCTCATAAGAAGCCTGCACAGTCTGTACCTCGAGGGCTTTTCCAGCCTCAGAGACCATTTGGTTTTGACTGTTTGTCACCGAGTGGCTGGTCAGTAAGCACATGCATAGCTCTTGATCAGTCCAGGCTCGTTCTACCTTTTGCCCAGCTGTTGGACAACGGGGGGAAAGAAACAGTAAGTGGCAAGCAGACATCAAAGTGGGATGAGGCAGTTCATCATGAGAAACAGTCCATTAGGAATCAGGCGTCATTAGATCTTCCAGTCGTAGGACTTTTTTGAGCAATAGAATGAAAAATAACCTATAGTACAGACTTTAACAGGAGTTAAAGACCTGCTTGGGGAGTCAAGAAATTAAGTAAAATGGGCATATCAAACAATTGAAACACACAACTGCAAAGGTTTCTATTAATTTTTGTGCACTTTAAGATTTGCATAAAAGATAAAATACCAAATTCTTCCTGCTCAGAGTTGGTGAGAAGTAGCTCTCCTGAGGCTTGATTACAGTTATTAAGGCATTTATTTAAATGTCTTTGAAGTAGGAATCTCTTTTAAGAGGAAAGTAATTTTAAAAATGTAGACTGTCACCCCTGTTTTGTCAATGAAATCTTTTCAAAAGCATCTGAACGCCTTTGTGTCACTGAAAGGTGCTTTAGGTTTCTCAGGACCATGCTTAGAAGTTTGCAAAGTTTGCCACCGCGTCTGAGATGCGGATTATGGTGGTGTAGTTCAAGACAGCCCTATTGAGTCAGACTATCTAGTCCACAGCTGCTGGATTGTAGTTCTTAGTAAGGTCAATGGAGTGAAGTAGGGAAATGTTCAGAGAGAATAGTGTTTCTGTGCTTAACCTTTCTCCGTTGACTGCACAGGGTTTGGCAGTTTTTTGTCGCAGTTAGAGCAGAATCACTTTCATAGCCTATAAGTTCTTTTTTCAAAGGAGGTGGGCTGAGCATGACTGTCGATGCCTATTTTGGAAAGTGAGAGAGATGTTTGGCCTGGACAAATGAATGGAATGTCCTGAGAAAACCCACATGGCCCAAGGGGAAAAAAAACCCAAACAACGTGTGATCAGATGATGTAGGAGCTTGAACCAAGAAAACTCTGGTTTTGCGCTTGCCTTGAGGCTTTTGCCTTGCAGATTCTTGTCTTGGGTGATTCTGTTTGTGCAATCATGGCTGTGGGCACTTGGAGTGATCACAGAAGAAATTAAAGTGAAGAAAAGTTCATGACTTTCTTAGATACTTGTCACCAAGCCAACATTGCTACCTAGTTGTCATGAGTTTCAGCCTGCTGGTTTAGCTACAATATGACATCTTTTAAAAATTAATCTAAATGAGCTTTTTTAAAAACGGAAGCGTTAAGTAGATGTAATGTTTTACAATTTCCATTCTTCTTTCATTTTTCTGTTTAAATGAGGCGTTTCACCATGTAATGAGTCTGCCTTTCATTCACTGGCATTTTTTTGCTGATGTTGATTTGTAAGAAAGTGCCTAAGTGTCTGAAATGTGTTATTGAATGTAGAAGGAAAAAAAATAATGAAATAATTGAACTATACATTTAAGATTTTCTTTTAACTTGCTTTACCTTATGAGTGTAAATTGTTTTTTATAAGAGGTCTCCTTAATTTCCAAGAGAGTAAGAAGAAATGGAAATAAAAAAACTTAAATAATGTGTTTTTCTATAAAGCTAGCTGTCATATTTTTGACAAAATAATCAAGTAGAGTAGTATCTCCTTAGCATTTTTGGCAGAATTTTCTGCTGTGTGGTTCTAATGTAAAAATGGAACAGAACAACTAGGAGTAAGATTTGGGATGATTTGACATGCACTTTTTTGATGGCCATGCTGATTTAAGCAGTTCCTATTGCTCATTCCTGCCCCAGTTCCTGGCAAGAGGATGGAAGCAAATGGCAGAGTCAGGGTAAAGGTTGCTTAAGCCAGAAGAGCCACTTGTAACGCAAAAAAAAAAAGCATTACAAACTGCAGTAGAAAATTTCTGTTAGAAACATATTGTTGCTCTCTTTTATTAACATTACTTAAAGCACTGCTTACTGTCTAGCTGCCTTGTGGTTCCTAATGAGAAATAAGAACTTTTCTTTCTTCTTCTCCCTCCCCCTCATCCCCTTTCTATTTCTTGTTCAGAGATTAACGTACGAAGAAAAAATGGCTCGTCGATTGCTGGGAGCAGACAGTGCTGCAACTGTCTTCAATATACAGGAACCAGAAGAAGAGCCTGCTATACAGGTGCCACATAACTCTACAGTTTCATAGGAAAAAAAAAATTCCTTTCAATTTTTCTTTTTTACAGTTTGTGATCATCTTAAAAAAACCTCCTACATAAGACAATAAATATACACAAGATAGGATGGTTTTGATTACAGAAGTCATATGTTATATATCAGTGAAGTAAACTGGAGGATCACATGCCTATTGCTCAGTTTTTCCATAAGATTGAGAGTTCTCAAATGTCTGCTCTCTGCTTTAAACTCTCCCGTTTATCCTATTCTGTCCTGACCTTTAATTTTCTCAAGGCAAAAATATATCTTCTATGTTGAAACCATCTTCTTTTTATTTGTGTAATCTGCACTTTTTGGATGCAGACCAAAAACACAACAGAAAGTCTGCTTGAAAGGCCAGGTACACATTCTCCATTGTTCAGATGCCAGAGCTGCTATTCGGAAATGTGTAGCACTCCTTTGCTTGTGTTGCCACATAACATATGTTCTTCTGATAAAAAACTCTGGGAAACTGTCACGAATGCCTCTTGGTCTTCTTTCTGCCTCTTGATCTTTTTTTCTACCCTTGCAGGAAGCTCGCTCTGTTGGTGCTTCTGTAGTGAGTCCTGTGGATATTCAAAAGGTTAACGTTTTCACCTTCTTCAGTCTTGTGTTTTTGTCCATGGATTTTTTTTTTTCCCCTGTCATCTTTGCCCTTTCCCTTCTACTATTCTTGGTTAATAACAAGAAGTCACCTAGCATTAATAACTGGGGAGATTTGGGCTGCATACCCTTCAAGGTCTTAAAGTTGTTCTGTAAGCCTGATTGCCTTAAGTGCAGGCAGCTTAACCACAGTAATGGTGTGCTCTGATATCTCCCTGCTGTAATGTTAACATGCGCTGATACTAACTGCCTTGCATCTAAATCAGCTGGTCTTTATACATACCACATGTACTTCATGATTTACTTTTATGATAAACTTTCAGGGAACAAAGAAATTTTAAAAAATGTCTGCAGTTTACAAAGGTATTTCTCTCATCTTCCATTTTTTACCGTTATCAAGGGTTATGATTAGTTCTGTAACCAGTCAGCAGAAAGGTTACATGTCATTCCCAAAACAGAGTCAATGGTAGAGGATGGGAATGTGAAAGGAGGCTTCATATGAGACGTGTTCTATCTTAAATAAAGTAAGGGTCAGAGACAATGGCCAGAGGTCATTTGAAAGAGTGCCTGAATTTCTGCTGACTGAGAAGAGTATTGGCTAATAAAGATTTTTCTCCCCCCCCCCGCCCTGCTTCTGAGCTTTCTTACATTCTGGCATTATCTTTGTTATCACTAAGATTCAAAGCAGGGATTTTGTACTGCAAATTAGATCGAGTGAACAGGTCAAGGAAGCATATAACTCTGTGTGTTATATGCTAATACTGATACTCCCAGTATCTGAATAGCAAATTTAAACAAGCAGTAGTGTTTTACACTGGATGCAATTTTCCACTCTTTTTTCCGTATCTTGAATACTCTTATGACAAATTTTGTTTTTAAGGAAGAAGTGATACTTCTGGCCAGACAAAGGGGACCATGACAACAGGAGTAAAGGGAGGCAACTGTCATGGACTGCCAGTGTTGCCATTTTATCATTTTTTTCTCATTTTTACAGGCAACTGTAAACAAAATCATTTTAGCCTTCTAAAAGGTGCAGCCTCCTATTCAGTTTTATGCAAATAGCAGATGTGAACCATATGGTCTCTGGCCATCTGGGAACAAAACCCACCCTAAATCTGCCTGTACCCTCAAGGAAATATTAGCGTGTTTCTTTTGTCTTTATGAACTACTTCAGAATACTTTTATTCTTATAGGCTTTTTTAAAAAATGGAAAGAAAGCAACCAATGACTTTCCTTCCCCCGTATAAATTAGACCTTAAGATAACATGAAATACAATTTTTGCCTCGTACCAGATGTCATCATTGTTTCATAGGGAAGTTATTGGAGGCACGGATTATAGTGTTTTTCTGCAACGAGATACAGTTTCCTTTTATATGTAAAACCTTAATGAATTGTCAAAGATAGGTAGAATTAAGGGAAAAAAAACATTAGGAACACATCTTGCTGAGCAACGTGTTGAAGCTGGACGCTAATATGTACCTTTCTTGTTTGACAGGAGTACAAAGTCTCCAGCTTTGAGCAAAGATTGATCAGTGAAATTGAATACAGGCTGGAGAGGTCTCCTGTTGAAGAATCAGATGACGAGGTGCAACATGGAGATGAACCCATTGATAACAGTATGTCACCATATTTTGAGATAAAGCTGAAGCATTACAAAATCTTTGAGGGAATGCCAGTCACATTTACATGCAAAGTGGCAGGAAATCCAAAGCCAAAGGTAAGAAAAGGGTAAATGTTTCTTGAAAGGCTCTGAAGAGCTTATATTGGTACCTTACAGCCAGCCCCTGGACCCTATGGGCTGTATCCTACAGGAACAGCAGACATTCTCTCTTGACAAGAAGGACTCCTAGCTGCTATAAACTATCAAATCTCTTTTGACATCACTGGAATTCTTTAGATTTATACCAGGCAAAACCCCTACTATGAGGTTTCAGCTCTTTGTTACTCCTGCCTGAGACTTCATCTCCATTATTTAACCTAAAAGTAATACTTCTGTCATTTTCAGAGTTACCTTCGGGGTACATCTGTACCACAGAATGCAGTGCAATGCTAGAAAACCCCATGTGAGCTGGCATGGTAGTCCCAAAAGCAACCCCATCAGGTTAACATGGATAACTAGCTTAGGCACAGCAATATCCTAATGCAAAAATAAGCTACTTCTGGTTCAGGAGCCAGCGTGGTATCTCTGCATTCTTCAGCGTTGCAGAGTTGTTTATATCTACATACCCTAACAACGCTAAATTTTATTGAAAGTTAGAGGAAGGCATAACAAAATACCATAAACTCCCATATATCCCAACAGCAAGATGAGACATGATGGTGAGGTTTTAATGACGAGCTTCTAAGGGAGGGTTGGGCTGGGAAGCGTTTCCTTTTAGCAAATGTAAAAGTACCAGCTGCGTGATGTCAGTAGTCTGGAAGAATGCCTGCCTTCGGTAGGTTGTGTTTAACCATTTCAAAAATTGCTTGGCAATCAACCGACTCATTATGCAGCAGGCAAACAGCAGTAGCTTCTTCAGCTGCCTTGCCAAAGCCAATGTCTTCCCTGTGAGGTCCTTGCAGCTCTTACAGTGACCTCTTGTGGATAGGGGCTCTTTTCTTCTTAGACAAGATCAAAGATGCTGTATCTTCTAGAGGAGGTCTTCACAGCAGCAGCCACATCTAAATCTCTTAGCTAGTGTAGGTTTTACAGGTATTTAGGATTTTGAACAGTGGTAAATGCAAATGACTTTACATGTCTAATGATACAGGTGTATGATGCTGCACAAACTGTAAAAAGTAAAATGGACTTTGTCAGCTAGCAGAGGAAGAACAACACAGAACTAGGGCTACATCTACATTAACAAGTAGTGCAGACCAGAAGCAGCAAAACTTTAGAATGAGGTATCCATCCCTGCATGCATTTCAGGAGGTTTTACTTCAGGCTAGCTCTAATCTCATCCCACAGACTGAAGCAGATGCAGCACATTAGATGTGTTCTTGGAGCACATTTTCTGGCTTAGTTTCATCTGAAAGGAATCCAATTCTGTGCTCCAAGACCACAACACGATGTGAACCACTGCAAAGTAAGTGGGGCTGAGCAGAATGAAAAAAGCACTCCTGCTTCAAACTGAAGACCCTCACTGAGGAGATTAGCCCAGTCTGACTAAAACCAAATGTTTGATATGCAGCATTACTTTCGAGATGACCATACAGAAGAGTTTGTCATGCTGAATAAGGGTGGGAAGACCAATGGTTTGTTGGTGTTAGAGGTGCAGTGTGCTGGAGAGGTACTCTTTTTGCCTGAGGCTTATGACTAAGCTGCGGGATGACCTATTATGAGTCAGCCTTCGTCAACTTAGCCATTCCCTAATTTTCACAGTTTTCAATTAAGGTGTAGTTTCACAGTCATCTTAATCTGATTTAAGACAGATGAAAGAGGATGTCTCCTTTCCCTCACTCTCCTTGTTTTGGTGTTAGGGATCGCACAGCCAAGAAACCACATTGTTAGTACTTCCCCTAAAGCACGGCATTATAAAGGAGCATCTGATGTGAATGCACTCTGATGCAGACGCGATGTTCTGTTTTTCTGCAGTGTCAAAGCATGCACATTAAGAAGTGATTTGCTCTTGCACCTGGGACTGTGACCCTTTATTCCATTCACTTGCAGATGCTTTGTGCAATTCATTAAGTTGCTTGGGATGGAACCAATTTCAGTCCTGTTGGATGGCTACTTGTTAGCTGGGCTTTGCAAATATCAAAGGCTGTACCTTCCCCTCCTTTGCCAGAGCATGCCAAGATGGCAATTTTGAAATGCTCGATGGCTGAGGGCTGCCCTTCTGCTGTGATTTGTTGAAGCTGGAAGTGTTGCCCCTGAATAAATTCTTTACTTTGGCAAATGAAAAGCTGGAAATAATTTGCTAACTTGAAGCTCCTCCCTTCTAAGTATTCTGTCAGCTGTGCCAAGGAATGGCTTTGGGAAGGACTGCAGTGTTTCTAAAATCTGGCATTAATTACAAGGGATTTTTCTAAGCGGGGTTATTGGCTTGATTTTTTTTTTTCCCCTGAACTGCCATGTAAATTGAATACTGATGTGCAAATTCTGTCTTCATAAATACGGCTTTTTAAATCTGAGTCTACTTTTCTTATAACTTTCAGTGTAATCTAAAACTATTTTCTCATTAAAATAAGATACAGGAGGGATTGTGGAATACTTCTTTTTAAGGGATATTTCTCCTCAGAATTAGGACAACGCCATACAAAAGGTTAATTGAAACATGAGTGTTGCATAAAGCTCATGCTGCTTGCTCTTCACATGGCTGAATATAATTCTTAGTGATTAAAAATGCCTGTGCAGCCCAAGATCAAAACCTCTTTTGTACTGTGTATTCCATTGTATTTCTAGTCATTACACATTGGTTTCTGAAAATCTGGTGCAAATAAAAGCAATCCAGATGCTGTGTTTGGTGCTTATGTAGTTTAATGGCACATTTATTAAAGGGTACCCTAGAAAGAAAATACTTCACTGCAAGGACCATTATCTCCAGCAGTGGTAGTGGTTCACTTACTTATTAATTCCATGTCAGATAAAGGTAATATTAAGACTTTACTACTCATAAGTAGAACGCAGTGAATGCCAATGCTTTTAGACTTAGTGGACAACATATGCATGACGTTTGGATAGCTGGTTCAGTTAATATTTGCATGTATTTCCATGTAATAATTCCTGGCATGTCTCCTGATATTTCTGATAAGTGCATTGTTATTAAATAATTACTACTTAATGCAGTGGATTTCCAAGCAACATTATGACACATGTAAAGCATACAAGTTAAAACTCATTTTTTGCAGTGATGTTGTTACCAGCATCCATTAGCATGTGTATAGAAGTGATCAAATATCTTTTGCATCTCCAGTAAGTGCTCTGTCAGCAGATGAGAAGACATGACTAAATCTTTTGTTAGCACCACAGAGTCTCTGCAAGGCTGCTGACAGACAAAATGGGAAACGAGTATAACCAGCTATTGAGGAAATGAAATCATTTCTAGTTACACATAATGCTTGTTAATATAAAAACCATACATGGTAATTAATTTTTAAGGGAAATTGCCACTTATTCCCTCCAAAACATTCTCCATTGTCTTTTTGTGAAATTTAAAAGTATACTCTTAATTTTTTCCCCAAGTGAATGAATTTAGAGCTTTGAAATGTTGGCACGTATGAAGAACCAGGCATATTCAACTCTAGCAGGAATTGTGCTTCGCTTTGTCACTTCGTTTTTACTGGAAAGCCAGCAACCTTTCCTCACTGTAAGACCAAAATTCCCACTCCAAGAATTAGACTGAGGAAAATGTGTGTGTTTTCCTCTTGCTAAATAGTCCCATCAGTCTTGCCACCAGGACGAATAACATTTGTTCTACTTTGTATGAGTTAACCTCGTAAAAATTGTGTAGATACCTGCACAAGTGACTTCAGAAATGCCGAACACCACTGATGTTACGGAGTAATACGCGCTTCAGAAATGACAAGTAAATAATGTTCTACTCAAATATTGGTTTCAGGAGCTGACTACAGCCTTCGTGGTATAAAATCTTTCACATATTCCTCTGTGTGTTTTCATACATACACCACGTTGTTCTTTTGATTCTAGTAGATTTCAGTTTGGAGTTTTATATTATTTTTAAAATATAGCCAAAAAACCCCCAAAGCTAGGTCAAAATATTTGAATCTTTTTTTGCTTTGAGTTCGAAGTATTAAAACCACATACATGTTTTTTTGTGTAATTTATGGGTTACTATAAGATATTATTCTGCATACATCATTTTTTTGGCTCACTGACAGTAGGTCTTGGGTCAGCCAGAGAATAAAATTATGTATCAAAAGTAATGGAAAAGACCTCTGTTTGATAGATACTCTAACTGTTCCGTACAACTTGGAACCACACTCTTGTTGGTGTACAATTACTAAAAGCTATCTCTGGGCTGACTTGCTTTGAAGTGTTTCGTATTACTTTGTAAGGCTGTCCATTTCTGTAGATGTCTGTCACATTGGGGTGACACTGCTGGTTTCAGTCACCTGACTACATGGAGCTGGCCCGTGGGCTAACGGCTCGTTGCCAGCGTGATCGGCTGAATCCCCTTCTGGCTTTTTGATCCAGACCAGTCGGCGTAATGGACATGAGACAAAACTGGTGTTTCAACAGTGAGATCATTACTTCTGTTTGATTCATCACTGAATTAATTATTCCTATAATTACCTTGAGTTATGTGTTTATTTTCTGAAAAGAAAGTGAGAGCATTGTCAAGTTTTTTCTGCAGCTTCTTCAGATTTAAGTGAAATAAAAATTTAAAATTCATAATCTTCTCTGAAATAGAACTTTCTTTGTAACGACATCTATTTTCAGTTCTTGAGATGTTCAGCTGCTGTTCTGCCCTTGGGATGGGTACAGCCCTTATGCACCTGTAAATTTCGTCAGCAAATGTGGATGCTGCCGTCTTTCTCTTTGAACGACTGCTAATCTGCAACTTGTCTTTTAGTGAAAGTTGTTGCTGGAGTGTGGTTCTGCAGTTGATCTAGTTGATCAAACCAGTTTTCTTTTAATGCTTACTGGAGAGGTTTTCAGCAGTTAAGATGTGATAGCGCTGTTAATTGAGAAATGATGACAATGAGCACCCACCTCTTACCAGCCGTGCCTTGTTTTTTCCTGCAGATTTATTGGTTTAAAGATGGGAAGCAAATTTCAAAACGAAGTGATCACTACCGAATTCAAAGAGAACCTGATGGAACTTGCTCACTGCATACTGCAGCCTCCACCCTGGATGATGATGGGAATTACACTATTATGGCTGCTAACCCACAGGTAAATGAAGGTTTGGCTCCAGAGCAAACACGCTTCTGGACATAAAACTTAAGAAAACTATCTCATCTTACGTGTGCATGATCTAATTAAATGATGAAGTCACCATAAAGTATGTAAGTTACATTTCTGTTTTCATCTTGCATCAGTAGGGTGGGACCTTTCTACCTCCAGGAGATGAGCAACTCCATGGCAGTTTTTTCCCTATGGTTTGAGGTTTCAGAGGGGAGTGTTGCTTTTTAAGCAGTGTTCCACCATTTGTTTCAGCTGATAACATCTCAGAATGCTAACTGAGCACGGGTAGCACACACACTGTAAAGGCGGGGGGGCACCCAGTTTACCAGCAGAAGTAACCCAATCCGGCAATTTTATTTTTCTTCTGTTGACACTACTTACCAGCAGAAGTAACCCAATCCGGCAATTTCATTTTTCTTCTCAGTCTTCACTGACTGAGGCCAACTTTTTGAAAGGAGTGGGAGTATATCACACCTCAACATGTTTACGTTAGGCAGTGATTGCAATTCTACAAGGCAAAATATTCTAGCACTTATTATGTAGGAGGGAAGGTCTCCTGTATTGATCCCAAAGCTTCAATGTTTTTCTGAAACACAGAGTGTTACTGGGTGTGTAGTAGCATTTGTTCTTCGCAGACCCAGAGCTGAGGTATACAACAGAAACCCAGTAGTGCGCTGGACGTAGCTAAGGTTGCAGTTCCCCCATCCTATTGAAGTAACCTTCAGTCTAGCACAGTGAACCAAGGAGAAAGATTTGCGCATGAGAAACCAAGGCAGGAACATAACTTTAGGGATGTAACAAATTATTTTCTTCTGTAGCACCAAACACCGTGCCAAGAGGAGGCCTGCAAGTAGACTTGCACTGTAAAATAACAAACCGTACCGCTGAGACACAGTTTAATCTAAACAGGAGTGTTGTGCTCTGTTATGAACGTCGCTAGGTTACTTAGCGTGACTCCGCCATTTTTGCCTTGCTCTTCAACTGTCAATCCTGCTCATACTGCAGTGCCCTTGGGACTTACGGGATCGTACACGCAGACAACACACAAATAGCAGTTCTAGGCTAGATTCTACAAACTGCAGTGCTTAAATCTAGGTTATTTAAACATTATTTCTACATATACAAATAACAGAAATAAAGAAATAGCATAAGGCCAAGGGAATTCTTCAAGCTGGGATCTTTTACACCACAGATTACCATTGTGTTGTCACACTTGGTACCATTTAAATTGTGGAAATCCACAGCAGGTTTAAAAATGGTAAATACATACATACATGCTCAAGGTAGGAAGCAAATCCTGTTCTTCCTGTAAGTGTTGTGTTAGTGCATGTACAGAGTTTTCCCACATAGTGTTACTGCGGGATTTGAAGTCTTGGAGGACTTGGTGAATAAACTGCCATTGTGTCTGGGGCGCTCTACTCTGTCCCTGAATATTTAGGGCCTACTTTTTAGCATGTGTTGTTCTGGGTAATGCTCATTCAGTGACACAACAGTGACCTAGGTTATCAGTGCTGGTCAGTGATGACACTTGTTTGTTAGTGGGTTTTTAGATGTACTAAAATGAGCTGGTTTTGTATCGTTCCTAGTTTGGGGGTTGAAAAAGCAGCTTTGTTAAATGGTGAAATTTTGCATCTGTGCTTGTTTCCCCTCTTTGGAGAAGAACCAGAAGCATCCTCCTCTGGCTCCCCTAAACAGAACATCTGTCTGTTTCACCAAGCCCCTGCTGTTCCTTCTTCACAGTGTAATTCCCGAGCAAACATACTGAGCTCTTCCACCCTTTGCTTGCTTTCACTATGTGCTTCGCAGTACAATGGAGGCAAAGAAGGGCTATGAGTTAATGTACTAGCCTTTCACACTTAAAGATCTGGATTCCAATTCTTTTAAGTCATCCCGAGTGGAAACAATTTTGGCATAGCCTCCTCAGTTCTAATGGAAAGTTGTCCACAGCTCAAAGCTGTCACAAACTCAGGCAAATTTGGCAACCTTTCCTTAAGAAAAGTGAAATACGTAAATATAAGGGAGCCTACCTCAGGGTTCTGGTGGACTGGTAGATGTTTGCTAGGCCGTTGCTGAGTTTTGGTCATTGCTATTGGAGCCACCAAACTACAAAGCAAAAAGACACATTCTTAGTTATCGATTATGTTAAAGCAAAGGATTCACTTCATTAAAGCTCTGCTGGTTTATGCCAGCTCACGATCTGGACTAATGCTACAGGATTTGTGTATGTAAAGTGACTTGTTGACCCGCCTTGGAAGTCGTCCGTGGCAGTTAGCACGGCCGGCACCACTGCCTGCGGTGCCAAGTGCAGCGGTCTGGAATTAAGGTTCTGACACGCCTCTCGAGTTTGCTGTAAAATTTGCCGTAAAACTTAACCCCAAGCAAACTGACTCCGCGCCTCGAAAAACACAAACCCGCGCCTGTTTTAGGCCTTTAGTTGCAGGTTACATCCCTGACCTGATCTCTCTCCATGAGCTGTATGTGCTCAAGCCCAGTCCTTACTTCCACCTTCTCTCCTTCTATCCTGTTCCCTCCACTTCTCCGCACTATGCACCCAGCCCTCGCTCTGGATTGCCCTTCTTTTCCAGGCCATCTTCTCACGAATTACTTCCCACTCATCCCTTCCTTCTCATTCATCCCATGACTTTTCCAAACCTTTGGCGTCCTGCTTGTTCTTCCCTATCCAAATTCCTTTGCATTTCTGTTTGTGATGCCTTCCTGTATTGAGACACGCAGAAATTATCCCAAAATGTGTGAATTCATCACCTGCCAGAAACAAGATTAATAGGCGGTGGTGCCTAAAATAGAAATGTAGTTGTTCCAGATGTTTTTAATGGTCTTGTAACATCAAAAAAAAAAAAAAAAAAAGGTTTTGGTTGAGAAATTGCTGCAGGTCATGCACAATGGCTTATTTTAACACAAGTCTTTTTCTTGTGGACTAAATGGGTCATGGGAATAAAAGCAGGACACGGAGCTTTCATTTCTAACAGTCCAGTAGTAACACAAAGGTCATTCATTGCCATTTGAATTGTTTTTTCGATGGGCTTTGACCAGTTGTTAATGAACAGCTATTTGTGACCCCTGAATTACTGCAACAAAAATATTTGTCACTTCTACGCTGACGGACTTGCTTGTGTGGAGCTCACAGCTTAGAATCAACATACACCGCAAAGCGGCTGCGGCTGTTGCCTTGCTGCTACCAGTCCCGGGGCAGAGACAGCTGTACAGCTTCCACACATTTATCGAGGGGCTACCGAAAACTCTCAGTTTAGAAAAGTTATTAAAATTGCATGGTTACATAAAAGTATATAAACTTTTTTACTAGAGTATTATTTTTATAGATAGCTTTCATATTTGTAGCTATGATGTATATTTATTAATACCACCAGATGCTTTTACCTGGTGGCAATTCATGGTGAATCCCCAGAGCCCTGGATGGCAGCAGTTCTGGCTGCGGGCAGCCCCATCCCAAATGTGTTACCTCTAGGGCTTGTAGTGGACAGTCTGTCTTTTAAAAACCAGTTTATTTTGGCATAAGAAACAAAGCAAAACAAAAAATGGAGATTAGATACAGCAGAGCCTGTGTTTCGTTTAGAGCTTTATCATGCACTGAAAATAACGCAAGACGACTGAGCTATCTGCAGTGTCCCCCATGGCAGCCGTGTGCTTCGGGGCGATTCCTACCCCCAAACCCGGCTTGCTCCCCACAGAGGGCCCTTTAAGTACTTGTACAATTCTTCCGGTTTTTACACTCATGGATTTTTTGTTTTGTTTTTTTGAGCTGTGGCTCTGCCAGATCCAGTGGATCAAGCCACTTTGGGGGCAGCAGCTCTGTGGTTAACTTCCAGCACTTTCCAAGTGCCACTTTCAAGAGCGACTGATCTCGAACACGTTGCCTTGTCTTTCTGGGCACTTGCCGCACGCAGAGAACCCTCTCGCCCACGTCAGTACCTTTGCCAATATACCGTTTGAAGGATTTATTTGCCATTTAGGGTTTTTTAAAAGAAAAACTTCCAGGTGGAACATTTTAACCGTGACTGCTATAGTCAAAATTACTCCAGTCTGTTCTGTGTTAGATTGGAAGCTGATAAAATAGTCCAGTAGCAGAACCTATCTTGATAAATGTTTTTCAATGACTGACTTAGTGAAAGAAGAGATTGTATTACAGACACTGTAACAGGTGGGCAAAAAAGAAGAGGTCAGGTTGAACATTTATTAATATTACATGCTTTAAGTATTTTAATGTTCCTCCTCTCTGTCATCGTCACAGGGCAGAGCGAGTTGCACGGGCAGGCTGATGGTGCAAGCTGTAAATCAAAGAGGCCGCAGTCCTTGGTCACCCTCTGGTCAGCCTCATGTGAGAAGGTACTTGATGCTTTTGTTTGTTTGTTTTATTTTAATAGTAAGTATTTTGCAAAATTATTATGGTAAGATAAAGTGAAGTCAGAATGTAAGTTAGAAGTACGGCATTCAGGAAGAAATGTGACCTCTGCTGTCTAAAAATTTCTTCAAAGCTCGCACACTCAGAAGTGTGAGCAACCTCTGAAATTACAGGACTTTTAAGTAGCTTTAATTTTGCCTGTCTCCTCCTCCTTTCTTTGTGATGCTCGCTAATTACTCCTGATCTCAAATTACACTACCAACTGTGGGGAAGGATGTTGTCACTGAGATGCTTTTTTAAAAACATCTCACCTGACCAGGATTCTAGCAGGAACCTATACTTTCTGCTGCTTTTAATAAGTATTCATCTAAGGAAACAGCAGAAATAACTGCATGCCAAAATAGTTTATTAGATTTACATTAGAAATATTTTAGTATTTTCGTGATTTCAGTTCAGGTTCTTATAAGGAATTATGAGTCAGAAATAAAGTATTAAACTTATCTTTGGTGAATTTACAATTATTCACATACAAAGCTTTAGTTTATGTTTTTGGACCATATAAGGGAACTTTCCCTTCAAAGACTTTTTTTTTATTACCTAAAGCATTTATGAGGCTGTTTAACATGGCTTAGGCATCTGTAGATGATACCAAAAATTCATTTTTGGTTACCCAGACAGAACTGCTTCCAAGGGAGTGAGAGTCAGCATGCACAGGGTGAGAAAGAGGAAACATCTTTAAAAATTGTTTTTAAAGATGAAGGGAAGATAGGTATGGGTGAGAGAGCAGCCAGCGGCTGACGTCTCGGCACCTTTCTGAAGGGTAAAATGTGGGTGTCTCTCTGTGTGACGGGCAGGCCCTTGGGTGGTAAGGGGGGAGGCTCATCTTTCAGTCTTTCCGTGTGCAGTCGAAGTCCGAGGCCGGTACTGGTATGGCTGGTATTTTATCTTCTAATTGAGACAAGCTCCCAGGCAGCCGCTGTTGTTTCGGTTGGGTGTCCAGTCGAGTAATGGATTATAAATGAGAGATTTCCATACAGCAGTTTAATCAGGGCAGTTCTTGGGGATTCTTATTTCCCATAAAATTACCATACGTGAAGGACTCATCCCGATACCGTTATTTAGGGCAGACCTGCTCCAGCGCAGCATCCAGCACACTGCTCCCATCAGCCAGTTCTCCCCGAGACTGATGAAACTTTAGTGAGCACGTCAAACTTTCCCAAGACAGATTCCCACCGGCAGCTTTTCTAATGTAACCTAGCACAATATTGTGCTCCCCCATATACCATCCTATTTGTCACATATGCTGCCATATGCTTTTGGTAAGTAACGCTCCCATGGCGTTACGCTATCATTTCTATAAGCTTTTCTGCCTGAGAGCAACAAAACCTGTTTGTTTGTTTGTTTGTGTTACAAGTGTAATGATTAGCTTAATGACCTTTATGACTTGTTACACTGTTGACAGGCTTTTTCCTGAAGTATTTTTGATCTCTTACAGAATGTGTTCTGGCAGAACTCCGTTTTCTGTCACTTTTACTAAGTCACAGACATTTTTAAACACTCTTTGTAGTTATTATTTCATTTTAACGTATTTGTCTGGAATTTGCTTAGCTTGCAAACATTACCTTCTCAGCATTACTTTGTGGGGCGGAACTTCTCAATTGTCCGACGCCTGCAAAGCTTGGGCTCAATCCCGTAGACATCACGGTGCTCAACATCGTAGCACCTAAGCTGTCTCACCGTGCACTGCAGCCAGAGCCCCAAATAAATCATCTTAAAATGCACAAGATTTAAGGAAAATGATTTTAAAAAAGACCTATTCCTATTGTCCCTGCTCTCAATTAGAGGATTAATTTGAACTTAATCTCCTTTATCCCAAATTAGTGATCATTATCATATGGTCAGTCATAAAGTCTTCCCCCGCTTCTTGCTCGCTGAAATTCCTAGTGCGTTGTGCCATGCCAGCGCACGGAGTCGCCCCCGGCCACATTTAGTACATGATGTCAGTATTGCTGAAACTAATCTTTGCAATTTGATGCCCACATCAACAGCTCTACAGAACCCACAACTAATCCAAGGGTATTCCACTCTGTTGCAATTTGTCATTCCCAGACACCTGAAGTACTTGGCTCTACTCATTAAATTATTTCTTTAAAACCACAAAATGTTTTAGAATTTAAATAACCCTAGTTTTGCCTCTCAAGGTAAAGGCTTAAAAAGCAGTTTGCAATTTTAGAGGTAAAAAAAAAATGCGTTATTTATTTCTGACTCTAGACTAAACAGCATGCTGATTTAGGTTTCCTTTTGAATGTGTAATTTCAAAACTTATGTTCTCACGATTCAAGAACATACTAGCAGAAAAAAAGCCTCTGGTCACAAACTCCTAACCTTTCTGATTTCCATTTCACTTGGTGCAAATTTCTTTCTTGCCCAGTGCTGCCTTTTTATGCAGTGGTGAGATGGTGGCTTTCAGAAGGACTTTCACACATCTGTGGTGCTAGTTAGCAGGACGCATGGAAATACTGTGACGGCAGATGTTGCGTGGGTTGCTTGCACTGCGCAGCGCTCATTTGATCCAATACCATCATTACCAGTTTTTCTTGAAGAACTAATTGCCAAAAGACAGGAGCACAGTTTTTCTGTATTACCGTCCATCTTCCAGCCCAGCCACACGCATATGAGGCCTGTCTGCTGGCAAAACTGGTTAGGAACTCGCCCACTAGAGCACAGAGTTGCTTACGAGCTCTAACGCAGGAGCTACTGAGGTAGCTTTAGGCACGTTCAAGTGGCAAAAAATAGTAGGTGCGTAACCACCTGGATTTAGGCACCTGAAGCATTATAGAAGGTTTTAGTGTGTGCAGAGATGTCAGTCAGTGTTCCCCGTTTCAGTATCCAGTCCTAATTAATAAGCAGTATGGGCTAGATTTGCCTTTAGTTATAGCTGTGGGAAGCCTGTAATGATAATTAAAAAGTCAAAATTGATATATTAGGTAATACTGTAGCCAAAGTGATGACGGGCCAGAATGCAAACAGAGCAGTAATAGAGAGAAGGGCAACAACAGAGAAGGACAAAATAAACCAAATTCAAGCAGCTCTAATTAAACTTAACCTCAGTGGAACAGAGTGTGCAGCTGGAGTGTTCACCTTCCATTACAGTAGTACAGCATCTTGTTTTCCAAATGGAACTGTTGGGGGTTTTCAGCTTTTTAGTTAGGAATTATTTCAACCTACAGAAACATCCCTAGGCAATAGAAGACACAGTATAGCCGTGTATACTGCAGCATGTACACTGCAGACTCTGCCCAAAACAGAAACACTGGCAAAAGTTAACAGAAAATGGAATTCAGAACAAGAGAATTTCACTGTGAAGGGTCATTGAGAAAAGTTATCTTGGAGGATATTTGAATAGCTCCTCTACTCGCCTCTGCAACAGGATGTTACTGTAAGGCAGCAGCTGGCTCCAGAATGGAATCCACTGGAGCTGTTCAGGCAAGGACAAAATCTGATCTAAAATTTTGTTTCACTTACAAGTTTCTTTGATTACTAAATCACACAAATGGAATAATGCTAATTTCAATTGGAAAAAAAAATCCAGTTGAATGAGGAACCACCTAGAAAAAGACTGCTCAAAAATGAAATTCTCACTGTTTTGACACCACAATTTGGTGGCTTTGAAAATGTTAAAAAATATCTCTGACAAAAAACCTGTTAAATGAGGAATAAATATCCACAGCACTTCAATCCACAGAATTTCCTGTGTGGTCTTCAGTAGCGCAGGACAAGAGAATATGAAAAATAAGTCTGATGTGAAGAGTCTCTTTCCAACTGAGATGAGTTAGTTAGCTTTTAGCTGCTGTTACTTTCTGAAAGGTGAACATAATTAACGAACAGTACATGCACTTTCTGGTGTAATCAGCAACCGTGAAGGGATTAAGTACACAGGACACCCGAAACAGGGAACTGAGGCGACATGCTAAGGCCTACCGGCTTATTTTATTTGTATTTCAGTAATTTAAAGACTAACTCTAAACAAAAATACTATCATCTATAAAGAAATTATTATTACAAGCAATTATTCTGTAGCAAGATTGTTTTCTAGATCATGTTTTGCCCACAACATGTGAATTAAATTAAAGTAATTAATAAGTACAGTGTCATAATTAACTCAGTCTGAGCCAAATGCCAGCAGTGTATGTGTGTAAATATAGACTGCTTACCACATAGGTCAAAGTAGTGATTTAAAATTCAAAGCAGCCTTATAAGTGATTTTGGTTCTTCTGACTTAGCAGAGAAAGAAAATAATTTACCTTTATTTCATGTTATTTTAAGACCACGATCTCGATCAAGGGACAGTGGTGATGAAAATGAACCAATTCAGGAACGATTCTTCCGGCCTCATTTTCTGCAGGCTCCCGGAGACCTGACTGTTCAAGAAGGAAAACTCTGCAGGATGGACTGCAAGGCAAGTACCGCGCAAAGGATAGCAGCAGTCTTTCTATAACATTAGCTGTTTGTTTCTTTTTAAAGAAAGAAACAAAATCCAAGTTTGTTTCTTTTTAAAGCTATTTTACTTATGGGCCGTTTCAGCAACCGCCAATAGGTTAATTAATCTCACTGCCCACGAGCAAGTCGACAGCAGAAGTTTGCCTCCCCCTCCAAAGGAAGGGCGTCAGGCAAATCTCACAGCTCAGAGTAAACTGATTTTTAGAATTCAGCCAGGTTGGGGCATGGAGGGCAGCAGCACACACCATACAGGCAGTGCCCTTCTCCGTTCAAAGGCCTTCCACTACTTGAGTTTCAATCCCCCATTACAGTTTCAAACGGTATAATCTTGATTTATGACTTTGCCTAACAGAATTAATCATGGCTTGGATGACTTCTGTTTGCTTTACGCTGATATATTTGGGAGAAGCTGTTTGTTTTCAAGCAGTATCCACAGCAAATGGCACAGCTTTCAAAAGTGCCATTTCAAGACTTGTTCACACAGACCAAGCATTAAGTAGTGCAGGTGGTGCTGTCACTAGGTGACACCTATGTAGAATGGAACTTGGAGTCCAGTGATTAGTCAGCTAACATCTTTTTGTCTGCAAGTTTTCCACATGAAGTTAATCTAGAAAGGAGTATCTTCTCATGCCCTGTGAAGGGCAAACAATTAAAAAAGACAGAAGGTGTCACCCTACCTTTTGTTTTGCAGTGTACTATTATTTAGCTTCTAGCCTATCTAGACACTAATCTTTTTTCATTCACGCCCATAAGACATTATGGAATTCAGGGAGTTGGCCAGAAAGTAAGTAAATGAATACAGCTGAGTCAATGTGTAATTCAGGACAGAACTAGATCTTTACATCTTGTGGTACACCTGCAGCAGCAAACAAAACCAAACTGAAGTAACAAGTCAGGACTCCTCCAGTGTTTCATATGGCTAACACCATTTCCCATTATTCTGTTTACACTTAAGGTGAGTGGATTACCGACTCCAGATTTAAGCTGGCAGCTTAATGGAAGACCGGTTCGCCCTGACAGTTCTCACAAAATGCTGGTGCGTGAGAATGGTGTGCACTCCTTGATCATAGAACCAGTCACAGCCAGAGATGCTGGAATCTACACCTGCATTGCCAGCAATCGAGCTGGTGAAAATACATTCAGCCTGGAGCTCATTGTCGCAGGTAACATCTTCATGCCAGGCGTCCACGCCAAGCACTGTAAAGGTAACACGAACACGGAAAATGCCAGTGCCAACAGCATGGTTGAGGGGTAGGGGGGTGAGAAAAGGAAACCAAGCTGTAACAGAGTTGGGTACCCTTACAGGCGATACGTTGATGTTACGTTGTGGCAGAAGTTGACTGGCAAGTAACCTCTGTGCACACAGCTAAGGAAAGTCAGGACTGTTGCCCCACGAGAGGCCACGAACCAGACTATTTACTTGAATGGGGTTTTTAGTGGCAGTTTGTGCAGACCTGTATCTACCAATGGGTAGCCAGCACAACACGGTTCAGGTGTTTCGTAGTGTGTTAGTCTCAGGCCATTCCAACCTTCTGGTAGAGCAGCTCCTTCTACAATTAAAAGCCCATCGTTTCAGGGGATACAAAGGAGCACTGTTTAACAAGCATTGTGCAGCTCGTTTATCCAATCTTCATGCTCCACATTTCAATTCTTTTGGGGAAGATGATGTGACTGTTCTCTTCAGATGAAGCAGGATTGGACTTTCTGATTAACGAAGACCACACTTAAGTTTCCGGCCACTTAGGTTCTTTTTTATTACTGGTTTTTAGCATATTGCTGAAAGAAAGGCAGCATTTTCATAGACTAGCATCTACATGACTGCACTCTTTACATTCACAGCTAAGGAAGTGCACAAAGCACCCGTGTTTATAGAGAAGCTACAAAACACGGGGGTGACTGAGGGATTCCCAGTGCGACTGGAGTGTCGAATCTCGGGGGAGCCATCTCCTCAGATCTTTTGGAAGAAAGAGAACGAGTCACTCATGTACAACACGGACCGAGTGAGGTGAGACTGACTAAGAATAATCTCCCCATGTGTAACTTTAATGACGATTTATCTCGTAACACCAGTGAAAACCTAGAAGGTGATCAGAATGCTTTGTGTGAGAACAGCAGCTCAGAAATGTTAACTGGTTAGTGTAATAACTCGTGACGTTACCTCAAACCTGCAGCCAGCCTGGTGGCTGAGCCAGAATTAAAACGTTAAATTAAATGTTGTTTTCCATCCCTGGACTCCAACAACTATCTTTGCACTTTAAGGGCACAGAGAAGTAGGTTTTCTCTTATAGAACTAAGACTTACAGAAATTTACTGGTGAAAACCTGCGCTGCTGAGTAAAGCTACCTGCTTCTCAGCAGAAACCTTGATTCATCACTCTGCTGTGTAGTTAAGCAACTAAGATTCAGAGTTCTTTTTATATTCTAAGTCTATAAACTTGACTTCAATATTTGATAACATTTACTAGGAATGTTTAAGAGCAAACTCATGATATATAGCAAGAAAAGCAACTTGTAACTGATATGACGCTGTAATAAGTTATTGCTGTCCTTCTAAATAACTAAAGAGTACCTTGCTCCTTAAGTTTTTCATCCTTTCTCCAAAAAAATCTGGGTAAGTTTTGGCAGCCCTACTACTAAAATCAGCTTTCCAGGTGTCTTAATCTGTAACTGTGAAAGAGAAGTTCCTTTTGCATTTTTCCTTCTTAGTTTTCAGTACAGGATATTAAAGGGACAAATTGTCGAGCATACTCAAGGTTTGGTTTTCCACTTGCTAACTTCAGAGGAAGTTCCATATTAATTACAAGTGGACTATAATTCACCTATAACCAGGATTGGGGCTGATTATAATGACATTTTAAAATAGTCTACACTGTTTTGCAGTTTAAATAGTAATTTTCTACTGTTCTTTTGTTCAGCATGCACCAGGATAACTACGGCTACATTTGCCTGCTTATTCAGGGAGCTACAAAGGAGGATGCTGGCTGGTACACCGTTTCAGCTAAGAATGAGGCTGGGATTGTGTCTTGCACTGCCAGGTTGGATGTTTATAGTAAGTGACTTCAGTTTTTGTGATGGCATTAATCCTCCCAAAAGCAACAGTTCTACAAGTTTCAGTTTGTTCACAGAATGGTTTACATTGGTCTCTCTTTCTTTTGTTTATAGTTTCTCCTCAATAATAACGATCCACATCAAGACAACAAATGCTCTGTCAAAGTACATTTCACCATCTTTCAGATACCTAAAGCAAAACAAGCATGCATGCTTTCTGTTTTTGCTTAGTATATTAAATATAGCTAATTAACAACAGATAACGGCATGAGTACATTATTTTTGTGGATCATTATTACTATCGCTCTGCTAGCACTTCCCTAACCTTTTGTATTCTTTTGTCCATTAGTCTGTAATACACCTGTGACAGCCACCAGAAGTGTAGTAGATGTAACCATGGCTTTCTGCTTAATTATTCAGGTTGTTCCAAAGCAGTCCCTTACCTAGTGAATGTTTGCTTAAACCAAAATCTTTTACCAGGCTTCTCCTAACTAGAACTGAGGGGGACAGGGAGGCGGAACGAGGGGAATGCTAAGGGATGGTTTCCCGGGGGGCTAGTGGGACTTGGGAATTAGAGATGTGGCTCAGCACTCCTCAGCATACAGGGCGTGGCAATGGCAACCAGATGATTTCCTTTTGTATATGACAAATAACCTTCCAAGAGGCCTGTCACTGTAATATTAGTGCATGGAAACAAAGCCCTTGCTGTTGCCCTTCTCCATGACACAAGGAAAGGTAGAAAGCAATGCCAAAAAGGCAAAGTAACAAACACAAACAACTATTGTTTTTACTTACCACATTGGAAGGTGAAACAAGATGCTGAGGAAAGAAAACCCAAAACCCCAAGAAATTAAACAAACCTACCTTTGCTATAATGGTTTTCTGCTGCTCAGAAATTAGTATCCCCTTTACAAAGGGCTGACTGTGCATCTGGTACACATTGTTGCACAGCTCAAGGTGGCTAACGTTTTTTCTTTCCTTTTTCATCTGTAGCTCAGTGGCAACAACCACCTCAGACAACCAAGCCAAAGAAGGTGCGGCCCTCAGCCAGCCGGTACGCTGCACTTTGTGACCAAGGACTAGACATCAAAGCAGCTTTCCAGCCTGAAGCAAACCCAGTCCACCTGGCAATGCAGTCTGGCTTGGTAGAGAGCGATGATCTGTAGGTGATCCAACTGCCGCTTCCATCATTTTCTTTCAAAGCAGAAACACTGAAAGCCATTGCCTTGACCAATGATACTCCTATGTCACTTTATGCAAAGGCAGACACCTTCAAGTACAAAAGATAAACGACAAACACAGTAACCATATATTCCTTACTCATTATACCAAATTAGAAGAATAGATAGATTATTAGTAGAAACGTACACACTGCACAACAAATCACATTCACCAGTTCCTTATACCTAAGTTGCTTCAGCTCTTACGAGTAGCCCTTCTCATAAAGGCCAAAATACGTCAGAGAGACCGATTTTTCAGAAGAGAACACTGTTTATCACGACATGCCTTCATAAGCAATATGCAGATGCTACACAATCTTAATGGTGCAAGATGTTTTCTTTGAGGCCATTAGATCACAAAGAAAATTCGAATGTGTGGTTATCCGTAGTTCTGAAACGGCAATGCATTCTGGTAGCTACAATGAACAAGTGCAATATTGTAAGAATAAAACAGGAAGGGACAAGGAAGAGAAACGTAAGCAAATGCTGTATCGCTGCAAACTGCTTCCTATTCTGCAAGGAAAAAAATATCTTGCCTTAAATGCTGTTAGTATGGACAATTCTATAAAGCAACATCAACACCGTAATTTTAAATTCTTTTGGATTTTTCCTTTTTGCCATCTAGGAGGAGGCTTACTCACAAACATACAGCAAAGACAGTTTAAGCATAAGTAATTTAATCTCTTCAAGGAAACAAAGAAAAAGAGCGGACATGTAATAAGTCTACTCCAGACTATAAATATTAGTAACTAGATGGGGAAAAAAATGCTGACAGGATGAACCACGGCAGTAGGTTACTGCAAGGGGCTGGAGGGGGACAGGGCCAGAGGTTGAACCTCTCTATGGCTCTTCTGAAGGCAGTCTGTAACCTTGTAACACTCCCATTCCAGAACCTGGAATTCTGCGGTGAGCTGAAAACTAGGGAGTGCATGTATAGGACGTTCGACCGTTTAAAGCGTGAGAGGTGTATGAGGGTTTTAGAAATGTACAGTAAGTGAAAAGGGGGTCGAGACTGCAAACTGAATTTAAATGACAAGAGTACACCCCAGGTGATAAGCCTGCAGACCCGAGGAAGTACAAAACGAAGGAGGACAAAACCAACATCAAACTTGCGCCCTTGTTTTTTCTGAGCATAGCACGTGTCTCTGGTGGGTTTAATTTTTTTCCTTCTCCTGGTTGTAAGCAAATGACAGCTCTTTCAATGGGCAGGGTCTGGGTGCCGTAGATGAAAAGCCTGAAGGCTACTTCCAGAATGCAAGGCAAATCCACATCAAACTGGAGCCCCGCCTCAGTCAGACCTGACTAGGTGGTTTTAAATTAGAACCAAATGAATCTCGGATGAAGGGGAGGGAGGGAACAATTACCAGGCCTGACAAGAAAAATGAGCATTTGATGGTACGAGCATACTTTGCTATGAAAGGAAAACACTGTATTCCTTATATGAAGCACATATATGGTATCTTTCATTATTTATAATAAAAGTGTTGAAATCTTTTATCTCAGTTCAGTTATTCAGAAGTCCTGTACTTAGGGTTTTGTTGGTTTTTTAAAATTTTGTAATTGTGTACACCATATATTGCATTACTGCTATACATGTATTGCTTTCTAAGTACACAAAGTTTGTTTTGTTTTTTAGTGACTAATAAACGTTAGCACATAAGGTAGTACTGTTCTGGTGCAGGATATGACCGGTCATGGGGATCGTTAATCTAGATTAACGTCATAGTCTGTCATCTGGGAATAATCTGATTCTATTCTAGAAGAAGTATGTCATATCATTTGCCAAAATTTTTCTCGACTGTGACATGCTAATTTACTTTTTTGTTTAGCTTCACTAGCATTACTTTGCCACCTTTTCTTTGTATTTATAAAAAAAATGTATTATCATTACTTTGGATTGTTGTGCTGATATAATGTGGGTTTAACATCAATAAATATTACACAAATAGAAAGTTTTTCATCTGGTAAAGACTACTAACTGCTTCAGTACAAGCATGCAAGTGTAAGATTTAGAAATTTTATATATTACAAATACAGAGGACATGAAGGCTATATGCAGCATCTAAAACTTACTTGAAATTATCAGACTGTTCTGCTTGTGGCCTGGAATCATGTTTAAACAGAACAGAGGAATGGGACCTATACATTCTGAGGCACTTTTGCTGAATAGAAGTACTTGAAGGGGCTTTTTTTAACAGGTTAGCAAATATGTAGGTCTATTTTGTGTGTCTAGTAATTGCAATATGACATCACTTACAACTGTTTCTAAGTAAAGGGCATGGTCTAAGCGATGTTAAATTCGTTTAGGAACAGGAGGCAATATCAAAATTAAGAAAATAAAATGTTAACGACTTACGTGGAAAACCCTGAATGTTAACTAGCTTCTCCTTCTTTCCTTTCTGTGCAAAGATAGCAGATGCAAGATGGTAATTTTTTTTCTTTTAGGTTTACATTTCAAGCATTGGTCATTACAAACAGAATTATCTCAACAATTAAGCAGGTACTGGCATTAATGGTGATACTGCAACCGAAGTCAATGGAGTTCTGTCTGCCTACAGTAAATTTGTCTTTGGCTTTGAGACTGGGACTGCTCTTGTAAGCTGGTTTACAATGAGGTCATCATCGCTTTTTGCCTCTGTATGTACGTACAGACACACAAGTAGTAAATCACATCTCTAAGCAGCGAAGTTGTTTTCATGAAAACATTCAGCTGTGCTGTTACTTAGATACTGGGAGTGTTTGCATAATGTGGCACAATAAAACACAAAGGTTCCAAGCCAAAAATCTGAAATTGCTGGAAGCCTCGAAGTAACTTTCAGAATTTTAATCTCCCCTCATCCCCCAAACTCCAAAGATAGATAGTATGACCTGAAAACATACTTGTATCATTTCATAGGACTGAAAAAAGAAGTCCTAACTTTTTGCAAGACATCAGGTTTAGCTATGGGAATTCCTCCAATTACTGAGGAAGCTGATCAGTCCGAGTTTATTCAAAGCAACCGGAGACTCAATGCAACTGCATTCAGGAGGAGGACCGAAGCTTCTGCGAGGAGCACCGGCAGCGAGGTGCAATATTCCACACGCATGGCGCTTTTCCAGCTAGTGGCATACCTGCACACACAATGCCTTTATCCTGCAGCTTCACCGCAGCAACAACTAGCCAACACATACAATTTTTTCCCATCCCAGCCAAGTGGGATTCAAAATCCAACTATAGTCCAGTTTGAAACCCTAGCTCATTGTTTCTTTGTGCATGACCGCTTTCAAAGACCATTTTAATTCACGTAGTTTGTATGCTAATAAATAAGTGCCTTCGTTCCCCACATATGGACAATTCCATCCTTATCTCTGCAAGCAGCCCAACGGATTTAAGATGTAAGTACATACTTCATGAGATCATACTATCCATCGTGTCATGCTGTTGAGGGGATCAGCCGCATGCTCTGGCTGTACAGCCCAGCTGACAGACCCATACCATGTAGTACAGATGGAGTAATGCATGGACTGGCAACGCCTGTTCAGATGATGCATGTTGACAATGGACCTGTGTCGCTGCCTCACGATTCAGCTATATGTATAACGGGTAGAATTTACTGACATTTAGCTCCTTCTCCTGAACTGCCTAGAAGAAAAAGCCCTGCCCCTGCACAGTTCTTCTGTCTGAACAAAACCAGGAGGACATAAGTTTCATCAGGCAGATGAAAACACAGCTCCTGCCCCAAGAAACTGACAGTGTGTTCCAGACAGCACATGGTATTCTTTAATGCATCTTAAAGTTTGTGGCTGTAATTCAGAATTAAGCCACAATTTGCATCCTTTTACAAAAGTGATTAATAACTAAAATAATCTCATACTGCACTAAATCTCCAATAAAAATGTCAATGCTTGGAACACAACGCTCAACTCATGCCTAGAGCAAAAAAGGCAGATCACAGGCAACGTTACCTGTGCAGCAATGACCTCCGCAGCGATACACGGAAAGATGAATGAATTTCACTCCAACACCGCCAGGAAGGAGAAATTTTTTGCTTTATGAAACAACTGCAGTGCAACAGGTAAACCCTGGGGAAGGGCCAAGTCTTGCAACTTGCTGTCACTTCCTATCATGCCCAGAGCAAAAAAGGCAGATCACAGGCAACGTTACCTGTGCAGCAATGACCTCCGCAGCGATACACGGAAAGATGAATGAATTTCACTCCAACACCGCCAGGAAGGAGAAATTTTTTGCTTTTATAAAACAACTGCAGTGCAACAGGTAAACCTTGGGGAAGGGCCAAGTCTTGCAACTTGCTGTCACTTCCTAGTTCTATAGCAGCACAAACACTCCAGAAACAGCTGCAAAACAAGAAAGGAGAAAAAAAATAACAGCACACAGCCACTACTCAGAACGATTACATCATTCACGGCAGGAGCTCTACAGATCTCATCTCACTGACTGGATTAGGGGTGGGGCTTTTTGCCTGAAACTGTCCTGTTAAACACACAACCAAACATATTGTCAAGCGTTTTTTGGCCGACTCTTGGCCCAGACATCACAGAGCATTTCTAGGCAGAACTGAGGGTACAAAACCACACTGCCAAGGACAGGACCTTTCCAAGCTACTGCAAAAGGTGTTGAAAACACCTCGTAAGATAAGGCTCCCCATACAACAGGCAACACACCTCTACTCTACTGCAGATTAAGGACTAGTGGATTTTGGAGATGGCTTCTGCCTGCAGCGTTTGTCTGAGCAACTGCTGGAGTCATTTGTAGGACAGGGCCCGTCTAAAAGAAAACCTGTTTTGCTACGTTATTCTACAGTATGCTGCACATTTCTGCTGCTTATTAACATACTAACTCGCATCCTCCTTCAATATTTCAGAATCAGATTCACTGAACATCTTTGTAATATACTGTTAATCTACAATAGGAGTTTTATCTTTCTTAAAGTCTCTATTAACTTCAGCTGTACAGTCTCTGATCATTTACTAATTCATGTTTAATTCATGTATAATAAACAAAAAACTAAAATAAAACGTAATTCTTCTATCAGCACAACTGCTAGTAAGTCCAAAGGTCTGGAACTGTACATGAATGATGTCATTTCAGGTGTGGAACAGCAGCAGCTTTCAAGAATTTCAGTTTGTAAGTTCCAGATCCACTTTCCACTAGGGGAAAAAAGTGTCATTACATAATGTAGATTTCCAAATCTAAAATAGGCTGTTAGTTGTTTCCCTCAAAGTCCTGTATAAGAAAAGTAGAACACAATTAAAAACCTTAAGAGAAGAATGAAGTAATTTTAAATTATTATTAAGCTTTTTCTGAGCAGCAAACCCACTAAACGACTATCTTCATAAAAGCAGAACCAAATTTTCATTTGTGATTATTAGTACTTTCTTGCAACATATAAAAATGGGTGCAAGAAAAGGCAAAGCTTCGGCTAGTAATTGTCATTCTAAAAAAATGAATTTTGAGTCAGCCTATACATCCTAAAAGCAGCGACAGAGTGTCACAGTGTTTCCAAGCACTAATTCCAAG